GTAACATATACATAGGGTGCAATACAAATATCCCTTAAAACAAAAGATAGCTTCCTTGACTGAGTCTTGCTACAGAAAGTAACAACTAAGGGTTGAATTAGCACACAATCTTCAAAGAATTTGGTATGTTCTTAATTAGAACTTTTTAAAATCCAATGGAAGTATGAATATGTTATATAAAAGGTGAAGTATGTAGTATTCGCATATCACCGTATCTAATTGTCGTGTAGGAAAACCAGTGATCTTGGTTTTTAAAACAAATAATTCAAGTTTTATCAACTGCCAATAATAACATTTTTCTTCAAAGATAGTGTTGTTACCTATTAAAACTGTAGTTAGGTGTTAAGCCTTTTTAAGTTGCGTTTGTAAAATTCAGTATTATAAAAAAATATGAGTTACGATATTGGATAATATTCTTAGGTATAAAGAATGTAACACCTAACCCATTAACTTTTTATTTTTTTACAAGTTATGAACATTACTGGAAAACCTAGACATAGAAAAGTTGATTTATTATGAGCTGAATCATTAAAAGTCCAAATTACGTCCTTACATTCAACAAATGTATTTAATTCTAGCTGATCAATGTTAAAAGGGTGATCTTTAAAACCTTTATAGATTAAAATAAAATAAATAAAAAAATACGCTAATTTTATGAACATTTATTCTGACGCAATTTGCCTCATGTTATTAAACATCAATGAAACAGGTGCTAACCTTCCAAACACTTGATCTGCCAAAATAACATTTCTTAATAATGTACAGGGTAATTTATAAAGAAAGCTTCATAGTTCAGCTCGTCACAAAGGAAAGTGAAATTGCACAGGGGTGTTAATAGTATCATGTAGAAGCAAATACCACAGTTGTCACATGTTATTACCATGGGATCCACTGTTTTGTTTTTCACAGGTTTCCCTAAGTATTAATAGGCCTGTCGTTCGGAGTGCATCTCATTCAACCACTAACTAGTGCGTAGACAGGTGAACTAGTAAAATGTTATTATATTAAAGTATGCAGTGTCAAGGCAACTTTCAGGGAATAGCACAGAGTGCATAACATCCACATAGGGCCTTGTTCCAGTGTTTCTACACACAGGTTCACAAAAATATATGAGGGGACAGGTTGCACTTGTGATAAGTCACATACAAGCAGGCCACCAACACCTACTATAACTATCGCTGAGGCCAGCCATAGCAGAACAAATAAGCACAAAAATTAACAAGGATGTAACAGTTTATGTTATATTTCCCAGTCCCTGGATTTGCCAATTTCAACTGCTAATAAGGCTATATGGTTAACTTTGCAAATGTTTCATTACAAATTCGTTATGTTCAAGCATTGAAGGAGGATGGATTCAACCTGTGTTGATTTTGTGTTGCAGTTCTTGGCAAGACTAGAAATTGATGATCAATGGCTTGCCAATACCTTATGAACTAACCAAACACACTTCACCCTGTCTGGAAGTGTTGACATGTGCAACTGCATTATCTGGTTGGAATCCAATTCTCATGTATCATTTCCTGCATATTTCTATGATGTCGAAGTGACAGTGTGGCATGGTACCATGGTTGGCTTTATGATTGGACTATGTTTCTTTAAAGAACCATCATCAATCATATAGACTATAAACCTGCACAGTACCATCTCATGCTCATAACCAATTATTCCCATGCTGCAGCAACAAAATGTAACAGACACTATGGTTTTCATGCTGGATGATACTCCTTCATATATTGTTAACCAGGTGAAACATTTCTTGGAGGAGTACTTTCAGGACAGAATCATTTCCTGTCACATTCTTTGTGAATAGCCACCTCATTTACTGGACTTAACACCAGCCAATTTCTGGTTGTGGGAGTGCTTAGTTTTGTGTACTGTGAAAAGCCTCACACAGTTCCAGACTTCAAGAATCCAATTGCCCAAAATACAAGATGAAATGTCCATTGTTGCACAGATGCAAAGCATTCTGGAGATTGGAGCAGCACATTTTGAACAGTTTCTGCAATTGATAAGACAGTAAATCATAGTGGCACCCTGGTGGCAACATATGATAACTGTGACAATTGCGTATGTATGATGTCCTGTGCAGTTTTGCCTTTCTATGCCATATTGTTTGTGAGATATGATGTGCTGAACAGCAAATTTTTCTTCATAAGTATCTTGTAACAAATACTGAACATTCCAATGGCATAGTCTGCCATTACGTTTCCCATACCTGGATAAAACAGATGAGAGATGTTTTTTTACAAATACTTCATATCCATCCCAAGTGTAAAAACTATAGTGCACAAGATCCTTATGGCTAAATCAACTTTGTTTTTTTGTGAATATATATATATATATATATACACACAGTGGAATCATTCTTATCCTAAGCTGGCAAGCATACACATTCAATCAGTTAAGAATTTAACTATTAACTTTAAAATCATAATTTGCTTTTAAACGTGTATCACAAGTTCATGTTTTATGTCACAGATTTCTGAAGTACACTTGTCAAAGTGTGTTTTATTCTACAGTCCTCATTTCTTTACTTTACTAAATTCTTTTGAATGAGATCATGCAAGTTAATCTCGGGAAAAGCCACCTTAAACGAGTGAGCAATAAAAATGGTATTAACATTATCTACTGTTAATGGATAATGATAAACTAAAGTTACTTATGATGTATAATGACATCCCTTATATCATATGTAGAAAAAAAAAAAATTCTTCAACTTATCACAAACAGCATTTACATTTTTGGGTTAATCCTACTTACTCATTTGCAATACTTGGAATGTACAAAACATTTATCTATGCTCTCAAATTTCACTTATAGTTGAATACTACAGGGTCATGGGCTACTACCGTCCCTGAAAATGATTTTTGACTTGCAGAATAGTTTATTTTTTTAGCAATTTCACAAAATTCAAATTGTTTCATTAACTACACAAAAGAACAAAGTTGTGTGCATGAACAAAACAGATTGTCATTCTTCTTGGTAATTAAACAAAGTCATCAATGTCCTGCCTTATCCTTGACTTTCTGAACATTATATTGTGCAACTCTTGGCGACAACTAACTGTGGACCAGTGCTATAGGACGAACCACATAGCATACAAGGGAAATATTTAATTATGAAGAGTGCATTCCACTAGTTTATGGATGTGATACTAGGGAGCATCAATATTATATTAACTATTCAATGTTACTAGCATCAGCTTTGATCAATAAGTGCACCTTGACAATGGTTTGCATATATTGTAGCACTTGGCATTTCCGCAGGAATAGCCCCAAACTCTGTGGCAAAGGCATCCTTCAGTTGAAGAAAATTTAACAAGTTCTGGGACTTTCTGATATTGTAAGTCTATTACTGTAGCTCAGTAACTATTCCTGAGTTGAATGATGCTGTTGTGACAAAGGTTCAAGATTACTGGGGAGATGTTACATGCTGTAATAATTAATGGATGCAATAATGATAAACGATGAAGGCAAAACTGAGCAGTTTTCTAGAAATAGACAACTAGAGTTACATTTGTTTAGACCTATACTTCTGTATGAGGCTAGTTTGAAGCAATACTATCAGAACATTAAGGGTAACTAATGATGATGAAGAAAACGTAAAATTTTCTTTTCTGAAATAAATAAGTGAAAATGGTTCCACTTCAAAATTTTTTATCATAATAAGAATGATTATACTTGTTTAATTAAAAATTTGTGTTTATTATATGCATTCATAGAATGTATACCTATATTTTTTAACTCGATTCATGCTATCTGATAACCTTACTTGTTTCATGCATACAAATGTTGAAGTTGGTATGTTATATTTCACTAATTGTTTCTACATAAGTACTTGAAAGCAATGGGGGCCAGAAATGTACTTCAATAAAAAAGTTGAATTGCAAAAATCAGTCGCATTTTTATAGAATATTAATTTACATGCATGGAAAATACTTTACCAGTTTTAGGCAAATTAAAATAATTTGTAATTATTCAACAAAATCATATTGATCTTTGACATTAAAGTTCTATTATACATAAAAAGTGTTTGAGGAAAAATAATGAGAATTAATTTCACTTTATAAGAATGATGTTCTAGATCTCATGCTGACCTTGGAACAATTTCTTCCATCATAAGTCTTTCTTGGTCTGATGTTTATGATTATGCACTGCTACCTAACACTGCAATTTTCACTGAACAAGATGCTGTAAAAGATAGACAGTGAGGTCAATTTTAGACAAATAATTTAACCAGCTTTCCACAGACTCTTCCACTGTTAGTGGACATTGCATTTAAATGTCATTATATAAGTAAATCAAAAGCACAAAAATCCATTAGAGCTGCACTGGAATTGCAATTGTAAGCAACTGAATTGGATTGCAGTGATTCTAGATTCTTCAGCCACCTTCCTCATGGAAACAGCCTGATCTTCAAATGTGGCTAGATACTTACAAACTTTTAGCTTGTGAGTCTTCTTCAGCTTCAAATTTTGTATTTTATCTTCCCAATGATACCAACTGGTGTGTTCAGTTTCATCATAATTGATTTTAGGGCTAAAGAGTTCTCTTATGTACACATAGCCTACACTTTGCAGATGGGGACATTGCCCCAAATTGGCTTGAGGTGCAGTTCCAGAGTGAAATCCCGTCCAAAATGTTTTGCTGTGTGTGTTTTTCTGCTTCCATGGAAGACAGTAAAGGCCCTTTTCTTCAAAATGGGTCCACAAATTGCATTTGCAACATGTTACTACATTAGAATATGAAAATAATTCTTATAAAGTGCAATTAACCCTATGTATTTGATTAATTCATTTAATAACAGAAATTCATAGCTTGGACAAAATTTTTCAAGGTTGATCTTCTAGAGTATTACAAAATTATTATTGTGATAAATATATAATGCTACAAGAAATCAGAGCTTCTAAACATTTTTGTCGCAAGAAAAATACAACACAAAATCTGTTGACTTTGTTTTTTCAAAATATATAGAAAGCATTACTTCATATGAAAACTTTGTTTCAGTGAAATAACACAAATTTATTTAACTTAAAAAACAAACAATAAGATTCTCTCTCTCTCTGAGAAATTGCAAAATACATTTTATTTACATCATCCAGTAACTGGTGAAGTTTGACATGGATGGATGAAACAATCACTGGATGCAGAATGGATAACTCATCAATCAATACACAGGTTTTTGTGTTCCTGCTGCTCATCCTTTGACCAGAAATTCAATAAACAGTCACTGGATTACCATTCCTTCAGACAGTGGGCTTCTATGGAAGTAAGTCTCCATGCTTATGTTGATTTATTGATAAATCTTTGGTTTACTGCCACTGGGTATAAGGACGTTCCTCCTAAAACTAATGAAGAGAAGTTTTTAAAGTGGGATGATTCCAACAATTCTTTCTCACTGGTATACCAATTTATATACATATATTTTTATTTACATCCAACATTTCAATGTAACTACCACACAATGTACATACCACATTAAACCATAATAATTTCACCATGTGACAGAAGTACAAAGGTTTTTTGAATTTTTTACTTCAACTTTTATGACATTGTGTGCTACATTATCTATCATGTGTTATGTGAAATTATGTTAAGCCATTAAATACTTTAACTCTACACTAGGAATAAGACCATTTTAAAAATATATTTCACATATTAAGATCTGAAATAAGAATCCCAATACAATGACATAACATACCAAAGATAACAAATGAAGCAAAAGTGTGTGTGTAGTTCTGGTACTTGTGCATGTGTTACAAGCAGATTTTAAAGGATTATAATAGTTTTGAAAATTAGGTGAATGAATGAGAATATCATAGCTACATTATTTTTTGTTATTATTACATTCCTATATTAATTCTGAACAGCAGTGTTAATTTAGTCTGCATTTTTCATTTTAGTTCTAATTTTTGTCAAGTTGACAACAGTCAATTTTTAGTCACAGGGTCTAATTCAGTCTAGTCTTAATATAATCACCTACAATAGTCAGGTATCTAGTCCATATAGATGTATTCTTTATGACATCTTAGTCTAAATCAATGTTTCTCAATATTTTTTTGCTTGTGGCTCCCTTTTGAGTTTGATTTATCTCTGTGACCCCACCCTTCATAGACACTGTTACTTAGGGAAAAAGTTACTTTATTTCCACACTGTTGATTTATAATATCATTTTTACAATATTATATTACAATACTGTATTCTTACTGTTTACTTATACAAGTAAAAAATATTCTGTTAATCATTGACATTTTATTCAGTGTAATCTTTGGGCCTGATGAACACTTGAAAGTTTTTGAATGTCCGGTTGCAGTGTGGTCAGTGATAAGCAAAGATCACCTCTCTTCACAACATCAAGGCGGTTATGTATTTTTGAAATATTTTATTTGGGCAGTGAAGTTTTGGTGGCCTACTCAGAATTTACTGTGACCCCCTAATTTTCCGTCATTCACATGTGGCCCCTTAGAAACATGGTGTGGCCCCCTTGGGGGCCATATGGCCCATATGGAGAACCACTGGTCTAGATGACTAAAATGGCCATACATTTAGGTCATGTCTTAAATTTTTTGTAATTATTTACAGGTAGAGTCCACATAGTGATGTAATTTCACCCAAATTCATATAAATGATTCATAAAAATTAAGTTTTACAGCAGTTAAATTTACCTCCCCCTTCTTCCTGCATCTTGCTTAGTAGTAAATTAAAGTTTATTTCACATAGTTTTACATTTTTCACTGTTTGTATTTGTAGTTATTCTGTCAAACTAATGATAACACAGCATCTCACCATGAATGATAATGTAATACAGTAACAATCCAATTATAAATTTGTGATTATAGAATTACAATGTTAATTTATAATAATACAGCAGGATGTTTACAGAATGTTAGCATAAACCAAAATGTTTCCTCCAAAGCCTCAGGTCAGTAAGCTAGCTAGATTGTAAAAAATTAATTATTTATTAACTGTTAAAAAAAAGTTTATAGATGATTCTAATTTGGCTTACCTGCAGATTCAGAGATCAACAAATATCAAGAAACACTAAAAATAATTATCAGGTTTTATTAAACAGAAGACTGAAGCAAATGAAGGGTAGGAAGTTGAATTCTATATAAAGCAAATACTTCGGGCTTATACAAGCATAAGCAACACACTTTAGTTTCTTGCTCATAAACATGTAAATGAATACACAAGAAATCTTAGCACTGTGATTATTACTGACTGTAAATATTTTTATAAATAAATAAGTTGGTTAGTATAGTTTAGGTGTTTACCCTGCCAGACACACTGTGTGTTATTAACATGAGTGATAGTTTAGTGATTTTCCACCTTCTGTAACTCGAACTGTGGTAATCCAAACTATCACATATTTTCAGTAAATGTACTCTACTGGACTCTTACTTCACAAACCAAATTTCAAGGCAATCCATTAAGAAATACCTGAGATATAACATCTCCAATTTCGATTGAGTTTCTTCCTCTTTTTTTTCCTATGCACCAAAAGGACGAAAACATTATTTGATAGAAAAACATACTTAACTGTTATGAATTTTTTTCAAAGTTGGTACACTGACAGATCTTTATAACCACTTTTTGCATAGGTGTGAGCAAAAAAGTTTTGTTAAATTTGAGCAGTTTTTGTTGAATAACTTTGCACAAGTGACTTTTATTTAGACCAAATGAAACTCCTGATTGTTCACATGAGCTATCAGTCTAATATTTTTACTGAATCTTCACCTAAGGTGGACTGTTATTAATTTTTTGTCACTCGGACTAAAGACGACCGATTTAGAGCAGCAAAACTACAAAGTGAAAGAACATGCAGATACATAAGTATTGATTAGGCCAAGCAAACTAGATTAGCAGTTTCTACCTCAAGTTTTCAGAAGAATCATATGGGAGGATGGTTATTATTCATTATTCATTGCAAACTTTACAGCACAAGTTTGCTAAATTTTATGAAATTCTCCTAATTAAAGTGAATTTAGCATCAAGTGATATTAACTTAAGCAATTAGCATAACTAATGATGCTTGATACAGCTCTACCAATTACATGGGGGGTGATGACAAGAAACTGTAAATCTAAATTCCATGGCATTACTATAAAACAAGTTATTACCATTGTTTTAGAGAGGAAAACTACCACCATACATTTTATAAAGAATCTGATTGGTTCTGTAAAGTAAAGGTCTGTTCTGAATAATAGGGTTGCGATCCTAAGGCTAATGTTGGTTAATATCAGGTGTCACTATCTTACTTGCTGTGGTTTGTTGGTGTGTATTAACAAAAAGTCATAATATCTAATCAGAAACACCTATGGTGTGAAAAAAAAAGGTGCAGCCAAAAGAGGATTGAGCGTATGACTTAAAGGAATGAAATCAAAATTGGCGGCCAAACTGGTAGCTACACATATAACATTGATAAGAATTTTACAGCAAATATTCATTCAATAGTTAGCTAGGCCACCCATTTTGTTTTACCCACCATCATTCCCCAAATTGAATAAAAAATATGTGGCCTGGCTAACTAATGAATTAATATTTGCTGTAAAATTATTGTCAATGCTATAAGTGTAACTACTAGTTTGACCACCAATTTTGATTTCATTCCTTTACGTTGCATGCTGAATCCTTTTTTGACCACACGTTTTTCACACCTAAGGTGTTTTTGAGTAGATTAATCCATACAAGAATTTTTGGCTTCCAAGTATTTTCTTTAATAAACAAAATACTGTGTAAGTTGTTAGTGTTCCAATAAGCATTACTAATTTCTGTTTGTCAGAATATTCAGAAAATAGTTGATTTTGTTTGTCTGTTTTCATCATGCCTGGTATATTGGTTCTTCTTAGTCATATCTAGTTACTTTTGTCTTCTCATTTTCATTGTTGACTAAATTTGAAATCAGCTCATCACCAAATATTTTCTTCAACATTCTTGTAAACAAAATTAACATTGCTGAACAGACTAAAGCTTTAACTACAAGACCAACTCTCATGTTTCTTAAATAACTTTCTTTCACAGTTCTATTTGATTCACGTTTAGAAAACATTTAATGAGTTAAGTGTTCACTGTGGTCCACAGTGATTAAAAAGAAAACTTAAAAATAAATCATTAAGAGACAAAGCTTTCAGTGTTATTACTTTGGTAGTGTCAGGACTAACTGAGATTTGGCAAAAGCCGACATGAAACTGTTCTTTTACCATTTTATGAAAAATGACAGTTTTACTTCAAATTACACTAACAGTATTGAAAAAACAAAAGTATTTATTTCAAAAATTTATAATTTGATATGGTAAGTTAATATCACTATTCTTTCATAGTTTACTGGGTTTATCAAAACAAACAGCTTTTTTATGGTAAAGTATTGATATATATATATATATGATCTAAGTTGTACATGGAAACTCAGAAACCACAGCTTAAGACCTATAGAAATAGTTTGTTTATGATACGATAATCAAGAAAAGTAATGTCATACTTACTAGAGGATAATAAAAGTTAGTTTATATTTAGGGCTAATTATTTTGCAATACTTTGAACTGATCAACGACAAATGATATTCAAATACACTGAAAAAGTAGTCAACAGTTCATTTCATTTTAAGCTTTTTATCGTACAATATATAAACACAGCTGGACTGCTAAAGGGAACACTAAATCTTAACAACAAGCCATGTAATTCTTTTATACATAATAGAACTAAAGCATTTTATGCACAATTGTTTTTAAAAGGAATGTTTATGTTAAACTTACCTAGAACCTCACTGTCTCCTGAACGTTTTTTGCTTTGATCTCCCCTGTAAAATAAATCACATATTTTGTTTGTTCAGTAAGAAGCAATGCCATACACAAACATATTCAAAGTTCTTAAATTTTTTTTTGTTTTTACAAATTACAATTTTTCAGTCTAAAAGTAGAAAAACTATTTACAAAGCTCAAAATATACATAAAACAAGGCTCATGAAGTGATGTTCTACATTTGCACCAATATTATGTTTAAAAAAGTTGTCATTTTTGTTGTATTTTCAAGGTAGAAATCTAATTTTATCACAACAAATTCTAAGCAGATTAATTGTAAAGATAAAATGCAGACTTATAATATTCTAAATGAAAGAGAGGAAAAAACACCCATACACACTCATATGTATATTAAATACTACTTCATAGAACACAGTTCTATGGATATAATAACATACCATTAAATACTGACATATAATATATATATATATATATATATATATATACACTTCCCACTAGATGGTGACATATCTGATATGTACCATTAGATTCTCAAATACTTGATAGATGCAAGTATAAGATATTTGATCTACATCAATGGGTGATGGCATTGTTATACAAGAGTAGAAGAAAACATACTAATACACCATGAGAAAGTAACATATCTGCTATATACCATTAGATGCTGGCAAGTTTGATACACATCATCAGCAGATAACACATGTAAAATAAAACACTGGATACATACCACATGGTGACACACTATATACCCCTTAGATACTTCCATATCTGGTATATAACACTACTTTTCAACAAACCTGATACATGTCACCAGGTATATGTGTATACTACTAGAAGTTGATGTCTTCATGAATAACACTACATGCTGACACATCTGATACATATTACTACATCTGAATTTCTGAAGTGGTTACTTGAAATGTTCAAAGCAATTATTCAATCCATTAGTCTACACACTTCTACAAAACATTTGTGAATAAGATGCTATATAAAAAATAAATATAAACAGATATAAAGTGAAAATGTTATTAATCATTTTAAATTGATAGTCAAGAAATTAAATTTTGTAAGTAGGAAAAAAATTACCAAAGTAAACATTAATAAAATGAAGTTGTGTCCTTTTTCAAATGCTAGTAATTGTGGTTGGCATACAATGAACACATCTTTACATCTAATGATAGACTACAGGAAAAGTGTTGGTGTTTAAACAAAAAACACCCACCTTGTAAATCCTCTTTCAATCAAATTCTGTTGAAGTTTCTGTGTTTCCTCCACAGCATGGGGTAATTCTGATACAGACATTGGAGGAAGTACATTTGGAATGTACTTAGCAAAGATGTGTGGAGCTAAAGTGGCATATCCTGAGAGAAGCACAAATATTTAACTACACACAATCAGACAACAATTTTACAAAACAACAAATGTGGGTCTTTCTATTTTTACAATCCAATGTGCAAAAATGATAAAGAACAAGACCGAGGAAGTTTGTGTAATGTTGTACTATGATATCCATATATCTACCATAACTTACACTGTTAACACTTGTGTAACATACAAAATAAAGATGCATAGAATCAGATAGTTTCTATGTGCCACTGATCCCATGAAATTATGCTGTCCTTTGTAAACTTGTTCAAAAATATTTTCATACAATTTAAGACTTACAGGAAAACTGTCAACTGTTAAATAAAATTTACTGTACATCAACAAGAAACATTAAAGTGCAATCAAATATTAAAGTAATGTGTAATGCAATCTGCTTCAAGATTATCAACTAAAAGTTATCTGAATCCATGTTAAGCAAATTATGGTTACTATTAAACTATTATTTGTCTTTTTCATATCACTACAAACTGCTACATTTTTTGCCTACAGACTATCCAGAAAAGATTGGTGGTTCACTCACACTTTGTGCTTTCTTCAAAACAATCATCAATCCTTTATTCATATAATCTTGGAGTGTGGAAAACATACATGAAAGAAATAACAACCCCCTTATAATTCTGTTAATCAGAGGGGTGTCACTTATATCCCTCGATATTTTCCTTCTCTAAGTGGAAATATATAACCAACTTACAACAATTAATATAATTTGATTTAGTTTTTCTATCACATTTTATGTCATGAAAATTCTAAAAGATTGTTTTGATATACTATTTTGAAGAAACATTAAAAACACTTACTGTCATCTTGGAATTTGAATTTTTTTTTATTGATCAGAAAATTTCAATTTTATATATAAATGTCAACATTAACGCATTTCTTTTGATAATTTGTTTTTGACCAGTTGCAATATTCACCACTTCAAGCTATAAAATTGTAAAAAAAAAAAAACCTAGCATAACTTTACACTAATTTATCAGTGACTGATGACTTCACTTTTTAATATGCACATTGTTTGAATATGATAAACTTAACAATAATATTCAGTAAATAAGGATTCAAGTCACTTGAATATCTTGGTTTTACCTACCACACTCATTAAACCAAACTAAACTTACCTGATGTCTTATTATAGAAGAAACTTTCAGCAGCTTTCAAACAAATATAATTTAACATGAAAATACTATAAGGAATGAAAAGAAAATGTAAAGAAGCTATAACAAACTCTAAGATCTATAGTTTTTTCATAAGTCTTCTAACCTTCCCATCAGGTGCTATGTGTAATGACTTCCCCAGGAAAGCATAAGTTAGTCCTTATGCCAATTTATTTATTCTACATTGACATAAATAGTTTATAATATACTCTATACAGTAGTATTTAACTCTGTCTGTAGCAGTTTGCAAAGGTCAGTATCATTATCAATTGTTCAGATCACATACTGAGATTATAAAAGGGTAGGAATGAGAGGCTGTACTAATAAAATCTGTAAGAGAGAAGGAAAATGATTTGAGAAACAAAATATGGATAATTATATTTGCAAAAAATATAGCTTTTTAGCAAATATAAACCCATACTTTGGGATTGGCAGAAAAACTGATAAGTGTGTTGTTTATAAACAAGACTCCTTGAACCAACACAGAAATGTTAGTTTGAGCAGTTTCACTTTTCTTTGCAAATTACACTCAAACATTTGTTATGAAATGACAAAATATAAATTATAAAATTTTATTTTAGTTAAAGAATTCTTGAAATAGTTATAATTATTATTTTTATTTAGATTTTAAAGTTTGATTTGCAGGTGTGTACTTGGTGCCTGAAAGGTGTTCACCAGTCATACTAAGGGTTAAGTGGAATTGTCATTAACACACTTAGTCCTGATAAGATCCATACATCAAAGAAGACTGAATTCATGTTCTTTCTTCTTAATATAAACTTGCATTTTGAAAAGTAAACATAAACTTTAGTCAGTATACACATGTGAAGCTTTATCCAACATTTAGACATGCTTCCAACAATACCCCCTCTTCCCCACAAAAACAAACTACCAACTTTATGTTTTAATAAGTATGCTGTAAACCAGCAGTGAATGTTAAATTGAAACATAAAACCTACCTTTCTTCAAGGAATAGAGCCTATTGATTACACTGGACATAGTTGGAGGAGGTACTGTAAATGCAGACAACTGAGCTTCCTCTAATGCTCCTGAAAACCAAATGTCATTAAAAACATATTACAAAAAAATACCAACTACAGAAATTAATCTTATACTTTTCAAACTGATTACTTAAGAACAATGTCAAATTCAAATTTAAGTAATCATCAGTGGCAGCCATATAGGGTGTGCAGGCTGTTCAGTGCACAGGGGCCCACTAAACCCTAATCAAATTAACTTTAAAAGGTCTGCTAACAAACAGTGGCAAACTGAGAAGACCAAAGTTTTCAGAAAGACTGTGATGTTAACAACTGGTGATTACTGTTCTGGCAGTCATCCTTTGAACCTGCTCTGCCCTAGCTCCTGAATCATTTTTGGGGGAATTTTCTGTTTGCCCTATTTTAGTTAATTTTTAAATATTTTGGTGATGATTTGATATTTATTGTATACGACTAATTAGTTCTTATTTTTCCTGTTGAAGCATAATGTCTGATAAAGTAAAGAAGATTTATGCTAGTGTTGCTATAAAGCATAAAAAGAGAGCACAGATTGAGAGCATGGTAATGAAATTGCCAAAGGTCACAGAATGTTTTTCAAGATAAGTATAAAAACTGAAATTGAAGATATGGACATTGAAATTGAGGCTGCCAGCAATGATGCAACTCAAGTAAAAAATGCAGAACTGTGGAAGGAAAGTGGAGAACAATCCACTTGTCATTTATGTACACTGCATGACACACAATTTGCATTTAGCTTTGAATGATTCTTGCAATAATATGAATGAAGTAAAGAACTCCTATGATATGTTGAAGAAGCTTTATAACTATGTGGTCTATGTTGCAGCAAATTGCATAGGCAGGAGGTAAAGTTGCATGGGAAAGGACTTTTAGTACTCGTTGGTCATCAAGAAAATGCGCTTTACAAGCCATCCGATTTTCCTATACTTATGTTTTGATTGTCTTGACAAAAGTAGAGTTGATGCCAATTTTACCACTGTTTATATATTTTTAATATTTTTCTTAGTTTAATCAGTAGGTATTTAACCAAATAGGTACCAGCTTTCTACTGTATATAATCATACTACATTTGTGTTTGGAATGGGCCGAAGTGGGCCCAAAATTTATCCCCTACAAGGGCCCACAACTAAGTATGGCTGCCACTGGTAACCATATAACGTACAAAGTAACTAGTGTCGGATGAAGTTGAATTAGAAAATTTATTTTTAAATCCAAACTAAATGATAATACTTTTGATATATTTAAAAAATCATAAAATAAGACGCATATTTCACGTGACTATCCATTCATATCTGCTTCCTTGGCAACATATGAGATAAAGAGCTCTTTCCCATAAGCATACCAGAAATAATTCAAATAGTTTTTGCCCATAGTTTTGGAAGATTCAAACTGTCCCCACATTAGACATTTTGATCACTTTTTACAAGTTAAACATTTAAAACATGGAATTCATTAAAATGAGCAATAATAGAATAAATCTTCAAAGCAGAAATGTTTTACTTACCAATCACTCTATTTACATGGTTATCAACAACTACAGAAGTAAATGCACGACACAGCTCACTCCTCAAATCAGTGTCTAGTCTACTTTCCAAATATCTGTTCTAAATAATTCAACACTGAATATCAATACCAGTTTATTTAAGAAACTGAATCTTTATTTCATTTAAAATTTCAGAAGACTTAAAACATAAATTAGCTACAAGAAAAAAATGAGGAAAACAAGACAACTATCATTTATTTACAACTATGGTTTTGGCAGTAAAGGCATGAGTTTACTAGCGAAACCATAGTCATGAATAAATGACGTATTTGTGAAACATACAGTTGTCTTGTTTTTCCTCAATTCTGTAATTATGGAGTTTCACCAAGTACTGATGGTTTCAAGTATCTATTACACAAATTAGATCTTATACCAGTTGCACTTAGCAATATATTCATAATAAAAAAAATATTCACAAAATCTGGTTCCAAAAATAAAAAAACTTCACTATGGAAATAGTTGAGAATGATTAATAAAAAAAAAAAGATAAAAAAAACACTTGGCACAACACATTCATAAGGGTAAGATATTTAAGAAGAGATTTGAGTCCTGATAAAGATTTGCATGCTTCAGGAAATTTGTCAATACTGCAGTTAACAATTTAATCAGTACCTAACTAACATTGTACAAGTTACTGTCAATTGTTCTATTCTACTGGTCAGTTATATGTGGATAAAAACATCAGCCTGGAGAGCCACTGAGTCTCATCTTCTGTGCCACTTAATGATGATTTATTCAAGAAAAAATATTTTTTAAAAAGGAGGCACTAAGTATTAATAATCAAACATACTATGCTTACCATGTACGTAAATAACGGAATAAGTCCTCTAAGGCTATTTTCAAACTGTTTTAATACTGAATCAAACATTTTCACTAATACCTGGCCTGCTTTCACCTGAAAACAGTTTTAAACATGTAAAATAAAAAAACAATTATAGTTCACTTATGATATTTAATTTAGAATTTTTCAAGAACTGTACATGCAAGATGTTAACCTTCATACACTCCTAAAGACAACCTTTCTTATATAACTGTTTATAGTCTGAATATTATTAAGAACAGTATTGTATGTTGTCTGGGAATTACCTAAAATTTAAAACTGATCTCCATCACAACATTCACCTAGAAAAATTATCTCAACTTTAGGATAGTTGAAGTGTATTCATACAAACTAGATTTGTCATACATCATTACTTTAATTCTTTAAAATAAAATGTACTTACAGTGAAGAGAGTTCACATTCAATCTAAATTTTATAGTTAGAAAATTATGTTTAATATCCACCTTTTGTGCTAAATAAAGTGTTTTAACAATCAACAATACCTCAAGTTCATGGTTCACTTTTTCCCAGTGTATTGTCACTTCAAACAAAAGATCGTGGTACAACCTTTCTGAATAATTCTTATAAACACACTTGTAGACACAACTATTAAGAAAATATAATGCAACAATCATTAGGACATGATAGTTTACATGGCTGAAATATAGAATTAATACATGATTTCTCTTATTAATAAATAAAGGAAAAAACATAATTTTATTGATAGCAGTATTACATGTAATTATACTGATATTATCTACATGCTTTTATCAAAGCTTAACTCTTTCCTGTTCAGTATGCTAAAACAGTGTAGAGAATTTATTTTCTAAGTTTATAGTTTAAATACTTAATATTCAAAATTCTTAGTAGAATACTTAAACAACAGTATTTAAACATAAAGGGATTTTACAGTCTATAGTCATTATGGTATGTTGACATTTTAAGATAATAATATCATTAAATTTTATATTCTAAAAACACCTCTGAATGAATAAACTATGGGAATAAAAACAAGCATCAGTAATACTGTCTCACATTCTCATGGCTTATCCAACAAGAATACTTTCACACTTGTTGTTGTCTAATATGTATAAAAACTTAAATAATAGATACCAGATTTAGGATGAAATGCTTTGAATGAAGAATAGATCATGTAAATCATATACATTTGTAATTATTTCAAACCTACAAAAATATGAAATACAGATTGTACGTGTATTTCAGCAACAAAACCTCGTCTATCATGTTGAAAACTAAAAAATCTATCACTTCAAATAATATGCCACATCTCCAGTAACAAATTATCCTGTATGGTAACACACTGCATCTTTATTTTTATGCAGTTGTTTACTTACCTATAAACATATTCAAATGATGCATGTCCTCCTTGTCCAGTGCATTGTGTGAGTAATATATTGATTGCATTCTGAATCGTTGGCCAGTATTCTTGCTCATATTCTGCTGAAGTCATTTTTTAAAATTCTGTTAAATGTAAAAAGAAATTTTAAAATGAATGTACTTCACTCAAAACAATTTGAACATCATGTACATCAGTAAAGACAGAGAAAACAAAAAATCCAATACATACACATATTATAATAAACTTACCTCGGTGTAATGCACAACAATCCATGTTCTTCGAATTTACAAAACTCTTTAAAAAGAAATGTTTTGACTAATTTGTTTAATAAACTTAAAGACTAAAAAGGAATTTGACCTTAAAAATCTAAATGGTTTTGCATGAGCCTAGTTCCCTATAATGTAGTAGTGTATTATTATTTGATAACTTCAGGGTAATTATGTTACTTCACAATCTTCTGATACAAAGAACATTTTCAGTTTTGCATTTTACTACATTTAATTGATACACTTTCCAGTACATTATAAATAACGGAAAATGCCATAAATATAAAAATGATAAAAATATGTATAAAGGTGTATTGTTACAATACCCTATAGCATAATAAGTGATTTTTTGTAAATAATAAATTCAGTTTTAAATTACAAAACAGATACTTCTACATGAAATATTAAATGTTGTTGTTTTTTTAAATTTTGTGTCTCTTAGCTTTCAGGATTTTCATGACATATGTTCTTAAGGCTTTGTTTTTGAAATGCATATGATTAATAATTGTATTGTACATACTTACTGAAATCTAAAATTAATGCTTCACAGCTTTTGTAATTTCAATAGACCATGTATCTAAATTTGTATTCAATCCTTCAAAACTAACTTTTATGAGTAAATTAATTACTGTCATGAAAATAATCAACTAATCCAAACTAGTGTTCTTGATTATTACCATTTTCAATTATTCCAACTATCCAAGTAATGAAGTACTTAGGGTTTGTTTCTGAATTCTGTTCAGTTTCTTAAAACAGTAGAAGACCACTTCCCCATGTCTAACTTAATCTGAACAATGATCTTATTAGGACTATACAGGCTAATTAAAGTCTTCAGATGGGGTCTTTAAATCTTGTAACATGGACAGTTAAAAAAAACAAAAAAAGTTCTTCATGTTATTCCATAAATGTGGATTATGTATTATATACAGATATTATGCTGTTTATGTAAAATGTTGAAAACAGTGTATTTTCAGTGACATGTAGTTGTAAACTGAGGAATAAAACAAACTCTTCCGTTTAAAAAAAGTTTATATAATAGTTCATTATGCTGAATAGTAACAGCTCCTTATTAATAAATTCCTGACATAATCTGGAGAAACAACACAAAACATATTGCAAAATGCATTTTCAACATTTGGGACCTTGCTGGTCTGAGTGAGAGCCAATAAATTTGATGGTTTTCCAAGAATATTCTAGTTGGTCAGCTATAACCTTCACACAGAAATTCTCAACCTCATTAACAGAATCAATGATTGATAACCTTTAAGAAAACTGCAGTCTGTGTCTCTTTAAAAATCATACATTTACCCCATAACACACGTATATGCTACACTTACAAGAAAGGACTCATAGACTTAACATAAATGAAGTGATAATTGTATGATAAATACAGTATATATCTACAACACAATCACATAAAGTTCATATAAATGGAAAATGTGTTCATTAAAAATGAACTTGTTGATTAAATACAAACAATTATATATATATATATATACAAATAAATTATGTATTAATATTTGTAACTTACATGAAACAAAAAAAAAACAAATATTCAAACTTGAAATATCAATGTTGCATTAGAAATAACAATGAATAAATCAAACTAAAATATGCCAAAGATAATACTTCAATATAAGTGATACTTGAAACCAACAGTACTTGGTGAAACTCCATAATTACAGAATTTTAGAAAAAAACAAATATTTCATATATTTCACAAAAACTTCATTTATTAACAACCATGGTTTCACCACCTGGTGATTCCTTTAATGGCAAAACCATGGTCATTAATAAATAAAGTTTTTTGTGAAATGTACGACTATTTTTGTTTTTTTCCTCAATTCTGTAATGTATACTTCAGTGTTGGAAGAACTGGCATTAAAGAAAATACTATAAGTGCAGGATAAAAAATACTGTACAAAAAATGTGTTTAATTTTACATAACTTTTACAACTGCTGATATACAAGTAAATTCTATTACAATAAAAAATAATTTTATACAACTGTAAAAATCACAAAGTTTGCACAACCTCTGCACAAACTTCTGAAAAGATTATGATTAAATTGCATGATTGAGCACTAATTAACACAACTGACACATATTAAATACTAAGGTTATTCTTGTCAAAGAGTTTTCTGGTTGTAGCTTTAAGCCTTGATAACCCAATTGGAACAGCATCAGTCAATCCCTAGTAATGGGGAGATTGTTTTCACAATCTCAGTGTTACAAATATCAACCTGGACTAAATCATAAACTAAGCCTTGAAATCTCATATAAAAAAATAATAATAATGATAATGAAATATAAAAGATCTAAACTGTAAAGGTTATCAAATATAAGCCTTAAATTAAAGTGCAGCATCAATCTCAAAATATTAGTGCAAAACTGATAATATGAAGGAATGATTTCAAGTCTCAGTTGCTTTTCTTCTACTTCAAATTATTTGGGAAGTACAAACAAATAAGTTATAGACTTACATCAAATGAGCTGTAAAATCTAAAATTATTTTTCAAATAAAATCAAGTCATAAAATTAAATTCACTAAGAATATCTATATAATTTAGTCTGTGGTTTAGTTATTTACAACCTGACAAAAACTACATATAAATTAGTTACTGTTAATGTTATTAAAATTTGGTCTCAAAATTAAACTATACTAGATAGTAACTTGTAAGTAAACATAAAAACAACTTACTCAAGTCACTATATTTTTGGAAATACATTCTACTTCTAGTTTGCATAATTTTTACGATTACGCTGAAAGTGAAACTCTTAATGTAGTTCAAATGCAAATAACGTCAAAATCTAAACTTTCTACTCTACTTCACTAAAAGCACTATTACTATTATTATTGTGTGATAATAGTAATACTACTAGAGCCACTTGCACTTACCATTACTTAGATAGGCCTAACGTTAGTCTTACTTCTATACACTTCAACTTGAGAATTTAAAAATAATATTATATATATATATATCATGAAAAGTCTCTATTAACAAATATTTTAAGTTTCTTATAGAACAATTAAATTCTATTACCCAAGAGCAGATTAACAGTTTATGTTAATATTTCTTCGTACTCGCTGTACATTTGTTCTAATTACAAGTAAGAATCTTTGGTGTACAAAACCGTAATCAGTATTTCCTTCGACCTTAGAAATATTCAAAATGTTTTGAAATCTCGAGCTATTCATAAAAAAATCCTGGAAAATCAACTAGTAATCCTTAGACAAGCCCTGAAGCTTTTATAATATATTAAAAGACCTTTTATATAAATTTCGAGCATTTTCTCTATTTTACTCCTACTAGTTCTGATAAAACCATCTGGTTATTTTATAACATTAAATATGAAAAAGATGAATTAAAAATCAGATGAAAATTACAAAGTAGCATACACAAAATAAATGTTGTTTTGTGCTCTTAGCGCAAATTCCACAACAGGCTGTTCGCGCTCATTCCGCCGCGAGGAATCGAGCCGGGGGTTTTAGAGTAGTAAGAATGTGAAATTTATAGCTGATCCATCGAGAGACCACAAAATTACTAGTTAATTCGTAAACACTACAGTCGGTTCTTTGTAGCCCTAAATGTAAATGTGATAACATAGCCAGAAAGTCTAATTTTGCTTATCATTAAAAGAAACAGCTTCAATAAAAAGTTGGTTTAATCACAATGAAGTCCCTGTAGCTCAGCGGTAAACTTGAGGACATATAACGCTAAAAATCGGGTTTTGATACCATCTGTACTTTAGAAGTGATAGACTAGAGCGAAGACAACTAATCAACAACACCCACCAACGACTCTCGGACTACTCTAATCGAATTGTGAGATTGACCATCATAATATAACTCTTCCATGGCTGAAAGGGCGAACATGTTTGGTGATGAATTTTGAATATGCAACCCGCAGATTGCCAGGCAATTACCATAACCAGCAGGCCATGCAAGATAACTTTTTAACATTAACTCATATAGCGCAATGAAATAAAACCTTTTCAAAATCATTTTAAAATAGAAACCCAATATATCTATTAGCATAGATAAAAAAATTTACAGGATTTTTTTACCGGTCTAGTCAAAAACATCCTTTACATAGACATACATAAAGCAAAGCCATAACATTGTAAACATAATATGGCTGAAACAGACACTCATAATCTAGCACAAAATTTCAATTATAAAATCACCCTGTCTAAATATAATCAAAACACAAAATAAATTCGTTAAACAAAAATGCAATACGAAATAATCCCTTTAAACACACACACGATACGTGCATACACACACACACACAAAAGTACAGTTACCCAGAGCAGCTACGAAGCCCAACCTCTCCTGCCCTCACTACAACCCCATCAGCAGATCCTTAAATTTGCCACAGTGATCAGCCTGTGGTCTCTTGGACTTTGACCAGAACCCCTTTGGTTTTAGTTAGCATCACTTGCAACTGATGAATTTCCTCTTTAAGTCACATTTACAGCTGTGATGGTCTTCTCCACGGCCAGTCTTCTTCCTTGTTATACAGGACCCTGGCCTCAGTCCCCTTTGCAGCCATCTCTTAACAATGGTGCTTGAGGATAGGGACCTGCTGGAGAATGGGATGATCCGTGATGCCTGTAAGCAGGATGGCTATGAGTGCTAATCTTGATCACCCCTAGGTCAAGTCAAAGAACCTCTAAGGTAGCATTGATTGTCAATAAAGTGGAGGATCTTCGCTTCAACTCTGGGCAGGTCCATAAGATCAATGATGCTTGAGGTAAAAGCATCCTCATTGATGCAGAAATATCTCGCTGTCAACAGTGGTGGTAGTAGGACTGGTAACAAAACCTTCAAAGCCCGTCCGTTCATGGCGAAGGTGCATCTAATGACAGTGGGAGCTGTCAGGGTCTCTAATGTCATGATAATTGTTGCTGGCCAAGTGTCAATGAATGTTTTGTGCCTGCCTTCCCAGAACTCAGCCACCACTGGAGGTGAATTTAATATTGGAAAGTCTTTTTTTGGCTTCTGGGTTTGCTGGTCTTGCTGAGGGTGAGTGCACATCTGACATCTCTATCTAGTGGTAATCAAATATCCTCTTTTGATACACCCCGAGAAATACTCCTGAAACCAGGACATCCACCTGGGCTCCTTCTTCATTTTGTGGAGGTACTATGGCTAACAACCATGGTTGAGCCACTTGTAAGCTTGGCTCGACAAGTGTTGAGTTGGTGGTCTGCAGCAGTGTATCTGTAGTTCTGTGGTCACTTCATTTCACAAGGGCTTAGATTCTATGAGTGTATCCACATTTGATTGGGTTTGACTGGCCAGGGGATACTTCAGAATATGCCCAGATGTACGGCTAGATCCCATATACCAGATGCTTTGGGCAACAATGCATTTTTATCCATGGGCTCTGCTGGGTCAAAAGTCAGGTTGGCTCCAGGAATATTTAGGTGTTTCCTGAAGTCTAGCTCCTCCACAAAGAGTAAATTCTGAGTGTCCTGCTGTTCATCATAACTTTCTTTCATTATACTACACCATTCCAACTTGGAACTTTAACATAAAAAGGCTAGAAAACATCAATGAATAGTTGATGAAAAAGACAGCCACAAGGTCAAGAAATATATAATAAATAGTAAAAGTCCACATTGATAACATAAAACTAGCTGAATTATAATTAGTCAACAGGTTAACCAGATGTGTAGGTTGTAAAGAGAATCTTAACTGCCCACTTACAACTATACTATTCTCTAAAACTATCTGTAAAGACAGATTAACAAACAGTTACCTTAGTCAAGTGATATTTTTATGGGCTTCACGACATGATCATATTTGATCACATAATATGCATCCCTAACACCTGTGAACCTCTCAGTACCCAGAATTAATTGTATATTCGCTTAAACAATACCTATGGCTGTTCTGCCCCTGTTGTCGTTCACATGACTATGACTAATATAACATCATTGACTGAGAAATGTTCACTCCACTACTGCCTGGCTTTTATGTGAATAGAGGCTAGGTCCTGTAGGAAAGGAATGGAGCTAACACTATTAAACTGGTTCCTAGAACACATGAACTGACTTGGGTTATTAAACACCAATCTATACTTCTAACTGTTAGAATCTACAAATACTTACATCCTCTCTCCCTTGCAACTTTTTCCAAAAACAAGTTTAGCATCAGCTAGGGGCAGTTTTTCAAAGTTTCACCATGTTTGAGTTACTTTCTCATTTTTTAGTAAACTTATAACCTGACATTTTGTTCACTTTTTTACTGCACCTTGTACTGAAACAATCTTGAGAAAATGTTTAGAAAGCTGTACTTATTAAAATATTTAAATTTTCATGACAAAAACATTCCAGCATAGCTAAATAAAACACTGAGTACACCGAGTTTACGTTTGATACAATATCCAAGTTACTATCGGTTATTTAATTTACTGCTGATAATTCTCCCCCCCCCCTCATCGACCCACCTCCATGAATATTTCAATTCAGTTCAATCAAAACATCTTGCATTACCTTTACTGAGAAATACCAGATCAAATTTTGTTTTATTTCAGAGAAGCTGAGGTACCCGTCTTTGTCCGTGTATATTGTCATATAGATATATCACCATTATACATTGTCACACACACTAGTAGCTTCAAACAGACTGTTTCTGGCTTATGTGCACATTATTTTGTTAACTTTCTTTGGTTATAACATTTAGGCTATGCCTTTGTAACTGCAGTACGTTAATGTGTTATTATCTAAGTGCCCCAAACTAGACACATTTGTCGTTTCAGGTATTATGAAAGAAATAATCATTGGCATAATTCAGGTAAACTAAATCGTTTCAGATAGAATTAATACTAATGCTGTTACCACAATATATATAAATATAAACCCAGAGAAAACAAAACTCCCTCCCTACACATGGACAAGTAATATACTCCTCAGTTGTACAGGAAAAGATCTAGCAAATACCATGCAGTATGCTCTGTAAAACTCCTTTTCTCAACTCAGTCAGGGGAGCGATTCTCACAAATGTCAAATGATATTTCACCATAGAAAATCACTAGATAGCTTGGAAAGTGAAGGTTGCAATGCCCTTTCAACTAAATTTTAAAATTCCTATCTAATATCTTCAGTTATGCAAACTGTTGATGTACATGAGAGGTACTGACATTAAACAATATATAACTGGATTGATAGAACAGATATCCATTATAATTAAACTCTGCTCAATGGCTCAGAGACTAAGTGTCACAAATTCCCTTTGGTCCAGATGATCTTACAATAATCAAATTATCATAACTGCATGATAATCACGTGATAATTATATAATGTATTGCATAGATCATACTTTATAAGAATATTTACAATCATTGGCTTTTTGACCAAATGGACAACCTAGCTGCAGTAATCAAGTAGTAATTACACAATGTAATGCATATATTAAATCTTACAATACCACCCAATAGCTTAGAAAGCAAGGAACACCACTTCCTTTCAGTCATTGATCTTTCAAACACATGATAGTCCTAGCTGTGATAATCAGATAATTCCAGCCGAATCAATTCTCTGCCTGACCCTGAATCTGTTCATTACAAACAATTACTTGTCTGAAATTGTTAAGGAAGTGGTCAAGGCCTTCGTTGACTGTACCCTTAAATGTCAGAGGAGAACATCTTATTAGCATTACTCACAGTCATCTGTGAAGGTATCATAAGCTTTTCTACCACAAACTTTGCCCAAAACTAGGCTGAGATATTCTAAAAATTGTAGGGGGTACAGTATGGTGGGCGTACGCCAGGACCCCAACACTCTGATGAATGGTAAGCCCCTGCTCTAAAATGGCAGAATAACGAGGTGTGTTTGACAGCTTGTCCATCAGTTCTATGTGACCTCGGGCTTCATTATGATCCATGCTCACCCTGATAGGATATTTCCCAGTATGGAGAAACTCATGACTGCTTCAAGGTTTATTGTCTTTACCAGTGTTGACAGATTTCATCCACCGATGACACACCAGTCCTACTTGGTTAGTCTCAGGTGGCTTTGACCAGAGCTGAGGTTGATTTGTTTTAGCTAGGAGTCCTATACAGGCCACTTCAGCCTAGGCAAAAGTTCAAAGTTCAAGATAGCACTTCTCCTAAACCCGGCATCTCTCTCAGACAACTGACCAAGTCTTCCTCTTGATTGTTAGTTCTTTTAGTTGTGTAAAAT